TGGTTATTTTTTATGTGAAAACAGTAAAGTAATTCACATAATAAAATCATTTGCTGAAAACAAACTCTAACCATTAATTACGTGAGAGTAACACTTAGAAGCTCATTGTGAAGACCATAAAGGAATAAAAGTATTTGCCACAATTAAAAGAAATACACATAAATACAAAAAACAAAAAAATACTTATATTGATGAATACTTTAATTCAACAAAGAATGTTAAACAGAAGATGAATTAATAAACAAAAGTGAAGTGCACAATAGATAAAAAATCATAATTTATGAAAAAAAAATTAATATGATACTGGCAGGAAAAATCAAGCCTTCAATGCACAATTAATAAACGTAAAGTACTACAAATTATCTTTTGGTACAGTTAGAAAGCAAAAAATTTCTATAAAAGCTATTGCCATAAATTTACTAGTTATTAGTAGCAAAAAAAGAATTGAATATAAGAGTTTATTCAAGATGATAATAAAGTATGGAAATGAAGAAATAATATGTGAGGACTTCCATAACATTAAAATTCAAACTGAGAGTCAGTAAAATAATTTTATTTTCTGCATGCCAATGCAATCAATGAGGTAATGTTATTTTCTGGAACAAAATCACCAGGGAGTTGAAAAAAATTTGCTCACTTTCACACAGACAACAAACACAAAAGAATATATTTGCAATGTTATTCTGACGAGAGTGAAAATGTAAACATCGAACAGTTTGACAAAATTTTTTGCTTTAATGGAAATTTCAGGGCAAACAATTGAACTGAGCATACGATGATTTATTTAGTGATCAATGAGTTTGTTGCAGAGTGTGAGAGAAAAGTTTTGCACAAAAATTATTCTCATCAAAGATTCAAATAATATGTGAGGAAATAAAATGCAGCTGAAATACAAAGATAATTATACAACAAGTCAACATTTTTGTCACTTTTAGCAAACTATTTTAAAACATTTTCACTTCAAATTTAGCTAAAATAAAGTTAAAAAGTTACTACTCATAAAAGACTTGGTGATGCCGAAAAACGAAAGCATAATAGAGAAATAGAACTATTTGGAATACAACAATAACAGTGAGAAATAATTACAGTACAAGTTTTAGCTTAGAAGAAGATTCAAAAATAGTTTGGAGATATATTTTAGGTCATCATCCTTATTTCACAATAAAAGGTTCATTTGTCTACATATCCGGCTTAAGATAACATTTCTTTAACTTTCCTTAGAACCTACACAATACGAACTTAATCCAAGATTAAAGTAGAAGTGCCTTCTCAAGGATAAATTAAGTCTATTTTTCCGGCACTTCACTTTTATTCCAAATTTAGTAAAGAGATTTATTGCAGTCTGAGGTAAACTTCCAAGTTTTCTTTGTGTTTATTCAAGTAGCCTATAAATTCGTACGCTTTGTCACTCTATAACGCTACGATAAATAACAAAAAAAAGATGCGATTACTATTTCAAAAACAAAAGTCAGTAACACATCAAATTAATAGAAATGACACTTATGATTCATCGCTTTGTCAACTTCACGATGTCACTTAGTAACAATTAAATTTTTAAAACAGTTGATCATAAAAGTACATAATATTTAGTAGTGATAACATGCAATTAATTGATTTATTTTGCATCAAATGTAAAGATCATTACTATAAAAAGGAACTCGGTGGAAGAAATTTGACGTCACAAAGAAAAGTAAAAATTCGCAAGGATTTAAAATGAACTGAAAATTTACATTTTGTTCCACTGTGAAATTTGAGATCAATATTCGGAAAAAAATAGTGATTAAATATCGTACACTCGTAAAAAATTGTATACTCATGTAAATAATTAAATAGATTACATAATAGAGAGGACAGTTTTATGGTATACAACAACGATTATATACGATATTACTCATAAATGCGCAATAAATGGGATTGTAAAAAGGATATAAGTAGCATATGTCTAATAACATAAATTATTGATTGGAATGAGATTAAAACTTTAAAAAAATGAAGTAAGATTAGAAATTCATCTATGTTTGCATGTAAATTATAGGCTTAACTATGCAAAGTAAAATAAATAAACGCTAACAAGGTTTCTTTCTTTTTATTTTTTTATCTTTTTTTTTAAATTAGCATTTTTGATTTATTCACCATTAAACAACAACATTTTGTTTTGTAAAAATGAGCAAAAAGTACAGAGATAAGTTTGTTTACGTATGTGAGCATACATACACAATACCAATGATTAACTTGACGGGAAAAACAATCTAACCGCTATTGAAAAATAATCATTAGCCTGGCAAGGTCTGCTCTCAAGCCTTTAGATGCATGCATATATGTCAAGTAAGCACCAAATAATCACGCAGGAAGTGTTCTTTTCTTCTCCCTCTCAACTCACAAATGAACAAATGAGTAATGAATGCGATATAGATTATCCATGCAAAAAAATCACTAATACAATATAGCATTCGTAATTTACAGGACTGAAATATGTTTAAAAGTGATAGAACAAGTTTATTTTAAGTTTATTTTCTCTTTCATATCTGTACTTGCATAAATACTCTGAATGTAATAACAAATTCATGCAACAACAATATTTGAATATGTAAAATATATGAAAAAGCAAATAAATTGTGTCGTGTTTAATTTTTTGAGTAATATAGCTACTGACTGCATTAGAAGAAATAATTACAAAAAAGTAAATTGAGGGATCATACAGGACAATTATTTCTGCAACACTACAACATTTCTCTTGTGATGCTACTGCCAGATGCAATACTTTGGCAAGTACTCATTCTTCTTCACTCTGAATGCAACTCCTACCCTCGCTTCCCTCTTTTCTCAGCTTTGGAGGTTTTTTTCTTTGTCTGCCGCACAAATTTTTAAATCAAGTATCAGATTGCGATTACTGCTCTATATCCAAATACTGATGGTTACGTGCAATATAAATAAACTTATTATGTTTCTTAATTCCCACGTTAGAGTATCATGTAATATGTGTGTGATATTTTTGCTGATAACACTATCATTTCCTTATATCATAAATAGAAAGGTACAAAGCTGATGCTTGCGTACCTAATTTTATGTAGTAGCAAAAAGAAGAGGGATGCGGATGAATAGTAGTCTGTTTTTTTTCCTATTTACAACGATAGTAGAAAATAAGAGTAGAAAGTATTCTTGTTAGATGAACAAACAGTACTAAAATTGATGCAAGCATTTATTCCGTCATGTGATGTTACGAAAACAAAAACAATCTTAAGTTTGCAAGTAAAAAATTCTATCACAATATTAAAAGCAATAATAATCAAACTCAACATTAGCTTTAACAACATTTTCATTTGTAAAAAGTAAATAGAAATAACTTTCAAGTTTAGATTTTTAATGTTAATTTTCCCGCTAATCTCGTTCAACATACTGCTGACTCCTCCATTCTTACTGTTCTTGCTTCTTCCTTCCTTAATTTTTACTCTGCTTATTTACCTTTATTTTAAGTAATAAAGTATATTTACTAGCTGATCTTTTTTGAAGCTCTTTAGTTTGCAAATTTTTGTTGTGGTTCATAAAACTGCTTCATCCTCTTCTTGTGCTTTTTTTTTCGTATTCCGTCTACATTCTGCATATTACATGAGATATAAGATTCAACAATGAGGACCATTTCATTGTTTCTTCATCTTCTTTTTTTCCATTATTTTCACGTTTCCATGATTTCTTAGTAGCTTTTTTCAGGCCCAACAAGTATTTTATTTTCATTCATCCAAAATTTGCTGAAAAATATCGGGGTTTCTATGCAGTAATTGATTAGTTGACATAGTGAATTTTAGTGAAGTTACATTAAGTGCTTAATGAATGTTCACGTTTCCTCAGTGAAGGTATGTTGAGAGCAGTATGTCACAAGATGAAAATGAGATAAATTTGTAGTGCATTTTCATCTTTGAATTTGCATCTCATTATGCAACTATCTTTTTCCAAGTGCAATTAGTGCGTATTTGACTTTCTCTTTGAATGTTGTTAATTAATAATTGCTTAACTTTTTGTCGCTATGCTCAGTTATATTGTCTCTTCTAGTAGCCTATAAATGCAGAAATGTAAGTTAATGAGAACTGTTTTTTAAATCTAAAAAAAGATAGCCAAAAAGTCAAAGCACAGAAAATTATATCTTTTTGTCATTAATATGCTGAATAACGAAATGAGGTAAAGAAGTTCTCTTTAGTGAGTTTGAAATTTTATGGAAAACCAAGCTAAGCACTACCGCGAAAGACAAAAGCAATAATCTGATTGTAGATTTAAATTGGCTTGTGTGATTATGTGATAACAGTAAGGCGTGAAAAACAACAACATGCTGACTAGCGAGCTGCTAAGCGTCGAAGAGAGTCAGTGAATAGAAGTATGGAAAGATCATTTTGAAATGGTTCCAATTATATGATTGTAAGTAGTAGATAATTTTCGAAATATTCAATAATCGATTTTATGTTAGAACTTGTTATTCACCTTGTAGTACCTTATGTATTATAAATGTGAGTATGTCAAGGGCACTAAAATTTTTGGAACATTTGTATTATCATTAAGTCTAGTAATTAATGGTAGCTGCGTGAAGAGTGGCGATTATGGTGTATATTAATCTCTTACATAGTATCATTCTACAGTTAATTTGGTTGTGTGTAAAGGTATTCTCATTTTATCATTCACTTTATCTCCACTAGAATTTTTATTAAACAATCATTTTACTTGTTTAACTTCTGTCTTTAAACAGCAAAATTTGCATTAATTCATTTTCTCAAAGGGGAAAAATATTTTTGAAGTTTGGTGATTAGAAAATAAAATTTCATTCACTGTATAGCAGTAACTAAAACGATTTTATTTACCGTTTTATGATTGAAGGTAGCATTTGGTCACTTAGTGTATATGCAGCTGAGCATTTTTTTAATACTCGTTTTGTTAGGAAATATCAGTTCGCTTATATCACCTCAACTTTGTTTCTTAATAAATTAATAAATGTTAACTTTTGCAAGTCTGATCTGATGGAATTATGCGAGCGCTGGTGGCAGTGTACGCAGGAACTTTTAGCTCTTGAAGAACACTGTGATCAAAAATATCCATTTGTTAATCATCGGCCTTGGTGGGCTTTCAAGGTATTTTTTATGGTTTAGAATGAATTTTATACAAGAAAAGTTTGAAGGTAAGTTGGTATGTTTGTTTGAAGCAATAAACATTTTCCTAGTGCCGATATGATTCTCACTAGCGATTCGCAGTTTCTTTGAATTGTTTTTTTCATAGAATTAATTACGACCTAAGTATATAAGCACTGCAAGTTCCTTTTTTAATGCTGTAATTATTTAAGTATCTATTTACAAGAATGTAAATTTTCTTACTAATCAGTTTTCCGTTAAAAATTAATTTTGCTGCTTTTATATCTTAAGGGTGTGAGTTATTGCTAGCTGTTATAAATTTATAAATCCAAAATGTCGGCATTCACAACCTTTTAGACATTACATCGAAAAACTGCGAAAGGCATCGAGTGTGATTCTAATCTAACTGATACATACACGAAATTAAATGCTTTGTATGTGGAATTTGGAGTGGAAATGCTTCGATGCTTTCGGAATATTTTGAGCGACACCTCGTTTTCAGAACAAGTAATATTACTTTGTATCGCTAATCATCCTTCACCGTTTACTGCAGTTCTTCTCTGTTAACAGTTTCATACTAAGCTTGATATAATACGAAAATGATTCCTAGAGTTAAAATATTTTCCTAAACTAATATTTAATATTTTACAGGTTGATGGATGTGAAATATTTACGAATAGTGATGATTTATTTGATGGCGATGAGTCAGTAGAAGCGTGTTGGTCACGTGTCCATCAGATTCATGCAAAATGCAATTTACTAGAAGTTTGCTGCAGACCGGCTTCATGGTTAATCTGTATTCATATTTACAACTTAAATTTCGTATAGAAACTAATTTTGCTATAAATCTTGCTCACTCTCGATTTGAAAATTTAAAAAAGAAATTTCGTCTTCATATTTGTGCTATAAAATTTTTGTTGCATTAATGATTACTTCAAAAGACCTTAAAACTAATTTTCAGGTGTCTGAAAGATGTCAACAAAAAACCTATCGGTAAAGCAATCAAAGACTCTGAAGAAATCATTAACAGAGAGTATGAATTATGCAATAAAATTCCAACGGTACACACAAATAATTTTCAAGTCGATAAATCAATGACAAAAACGGGTTTCCATATCAGAATTGGGCCTTGAATAATGGAGTATAATTTCTAGCTTTATCTGTTGACAAAAATGTAAGTCAGGATGAAGGACCAAAGAGATAAAATTAATCACTAAAAAAATTCACTTTGTTAAAGCAAGTTGATTTAGGGCTTTTTGATTTTACATTAATTCTCCAAATTTTTCATTATATCAAGATACATTCCAACGGCCCAAACAGTTTTATGTGATTATGTATGGAAATCTCTGAAGGCTATAACTAAACAAAATTTTCGGAAGAATTTTCAAATAAAAAATTTTGGAAAAACTAATCTGGATTTTTTGAAAGGAACTAGGTACCTCAAGTTAAAATTAGTTTAAATTAAGTTCAGAAGCAAACTAGTAATTATTATTCCATAATCAATAAAAAAAATAGTTCTCAATTTGCAGTACGATAAAAGGAATTAGGTACCCTAAAGTTAAAGTAAATTTCGTTAAACGAATTTCGTTCAGAAGAGTGCCATTTAATGTCGTGTATTCTTAAAATATCAGAAGTAATGAAAAAAATGTAAAATTTTATTATTAGATAATAATAATAATTAGATATAAAAATCTTTAATTTTTCTCTTTTGGTAATCATTTACGAAAACAGTTAAGTAGATTTTTAGTATGCATAAAAGTGGAAAATGACTTGCATGAATGAATTTCATGTAGAAATATGATATAAGATTTCTTGAAGACAAAAAAAAGTAGTAAGAGTATGTTTTTAAACAAATATTAAGTTGTAAATAAATTCGACTACTAAAAAATTAAGCTTTTAACTGCACATCACATTTCTCACTTGAATTTGCTGAAAATTTCTGTCGCAAACATTACAAGAAAAAAATAAGTGAATTTAGGAGATTTCCAAATACTCAATGATAAACGAAATGAATTCAGTAGAAGATCAGGTCACGCCAGTTGTCAACAAGTCATTGAAAATAGGTACAAAGTTGTAGCTAAAGTCCTACACACATTTTGTACTTAATCACAATTTTTATACTTTTAAACCAAAGAACGTTTGAAATGCATTTAGTGGGAATTCTAAAATCACAAGTAAGCTTGTTGTAGAATATTTCTTTTGTGACAGAGAAGTTCTTTAAGCATGCAAATAGATCTTTAAATTGCAACATTTTTACGAAAGAATTTCACTCGCTTATTCAGTGGATGAGAGATTTAAAGATAAATTTGTTTGGGAATTAGTATTTTGTGACGCGCACCGCTTACAGCTAAACATCTAACTTCTCTGTTTATTTTATTGTCATCTATGCAAGATTTGAAATTCATCCCTTCTAATGATAATTAAATAAGAATAAGTTTCAGCGTTCAAAGGAGCTTGCCTTGTCTCTTAACTTGTTTCATTGAAGTAGTGTCAGCACACTTTGATTATTATTGTATTTTTTCACGTCGAAGAGCTTTCTTTTGAAATAGAACACTGACCTTGTTTTGATAGAAATTGATCTTGCATTATTTCAGAACAGATGTCCCCTCAAACGCTAGTAGCTAATTTGTCTACACATGAAAAAACATCACATTTTGATGCATTGGAAGCTTATTTTAAAGTTAGTGGAAATCATTCTGTTATTTCAGTGCATTGCAATATCCTTTGTTCAGTTTGTAAGTTTACGGGAAGATAAGTTAATCCACGAAGAATAAATGCTTAGTAAGTATTTCGGTTGATTCAAGATTTTAATTGAATCACTGATGATAAAATGATCACTAAATTTTTTCGAAGACACGGTTCAAGCTATCTGTTTTATTTTCTTTCATTACAGGAACAGTATTATGAAGAAACAAATAGTTTCTGTGATGCGTATCAAAATTGTACTCAAAACTTGATGAAGTTGAGTGAAGTTTGTGCAATGGTATTTAAAGAAGTTCAGCACGAGATGAATTATGTTCGTCAAATTTTTGAATTTAATAATTTTATTCAAAATTACTTGAATATGATGCTTCTGATTATGCTAGTTATTTACTTTTCCAGAATTTTTCATCGTTTTATCGATATCTGCTACCGCTGAATAATGTAGATCTAAAATGTCGAGAACAGGAGAGTGAACTTCAGATAGCAGTTAATTTTGCTTTAGATCAAGTTAAAAGCTACAATCATTGGTGTATAAGGGTACAGATTTCCAATCACTCCAGCAATGAATTTATTATCCCTGTAAAGCTTCAAGATTATCAGATAATTGCTGGTTATTTAATACTGTCTTAAAAAGAATTATTATTAAGCATCAATTTCAACGATTTCAACGTTTTATTGTATGAAAAGCTAGAACCTTCACTACATTTGTTTAAGCGTACTTGCATGAATTTAAGTACGTCTAATTTTCGAAATAATGTTTAAATTTTCAATGATTATTTGCATTATGCATTCATTTAATGCAAAAAATTGAAGCCAAAATTAAAAAAAAGAAAAATTGTGCTTCACCTTTGTTTTGATAGAATATTTTGCAGCGTACATGTTTCACCATCAGTGCTCGTTATCATGGTCAAATCAGCCGTTTTAGCGAACAATCAATTCAAAAAGATAATTGCAGCATTTGGATAGAGCATTTGAGTAATATGTGCAACCGTCTTAAAAATTGCTGCTTACCAGCAAAAATGTACGTTTTTAGTATAATATAATAAAAAGAGAAATAGTGTAAAGTTTGCTTGTGATTTCTTGTGATGAATAGAATAAAAAATATTTCTTTTATTGCAGATGTGAACGTACAGAGAAGTACCGCCAAATAACTACAGTCTATACTAATTTGATGAGAGATTTGATAAGTTTTAAGGATCGATGCTACTACGCTGCTTTCAATGCGTGGATAGATAACCTTTAAATATTCATTTTTAAATGTAGACTAACAAGTTTTGATGAAGAAAAACGGATAAAATAAAATGAAAAACTTATTATCGAAAATGTTTGGGCAGATGAAACTTTAAGAGTGGAAAGGAGACTTGAAAAAAATTGAAAAGTAGATAATATTAGGCAAGAATAAAAGAGCAAGAAAGCATTTTTATTCCTGTTTCATAAGTGAATTATAGTAGTGAGTCATATTTCTATGTTATTGTGTACTTGGCTTGAAAAGTTCGAAATGAAAAACTTATTACTGAACTTAATCAGATATATATGAAAGCTGAATCAAAGCTGTAATTTACGTCTTCTCTTCTTTTTTTGTTTCAGCTGTAAGACAGTTGTGATGTACTAGCGTCTTTAACTAATGGTCGATGAAAACATATTAAAAAAATAATTACAAGTCCTTGTTTTGCACGTCTTGCAAACTTGAATTTATTCAAATTATTACTGCTAAATAATCCAAGTTTGCAAATGGCTAACGCAGAGTTTAAGTATAGTATTGCTTTAGTTTAAGCAAGATATTATTTTGATTATAAAAATAAGTATCATTTTGTGAAAAAAACTACTTATTTAATCAAAAATTACACAAATTTTGTTTTCTCACGATTTACTCATTGATTATTAGAATTTGTAAGATATGGAAGAGAAAAATGAGAATAGATGGTCGTAGAAAAAAGTTGGCATTAAATTAAATGTGAATATTTCAAAAAATTAATAGAATTGCAGCAGTCAATATTTTCTGAACTTGATCAATTTTCTAATATATATTAAGAAATTGATGCATACCCACTGTTAAATGATAAATCTATTATTATGAATAATTATTTAGATGATAAATTTTTTTAGTGGAATATGAAAATGTTTGCATAGTTCATATTTTCTCATCAAATACAGACATAATGATACGTTCGAAGTAAAGCGACAAGTTTGCATTAATCAAAGTTAGGCACGTTAACCCTGCTACTAGAAAGCCAATCAGTCGGCTGAGAAATAGCATTTTGTTGATTTTCCCAAAAATCTGTCATTGGATTATACTGCAAAACTGTTATAGAACACCGTGGGTAATTATGAATTAAACGTTGTACATCACCCATTGTTCGCGGCATATCATGTCGATTTGTCAGGATTCTGAAGTATATCATTCATAAGAACATAAAGTCGATAAGAGTTATTCAGAAATAATTGAAATTTGATTAGTATAACTGCGGTATACATTAATGATTGATAATGTCAGTAATGACTACAAAATATTTGCCCTTCTGCTGTTCTCCAATATAATTCAATGGAATATAACGCTAATTCTGATTGAAAATTAAAAAATTATTTTTCAAAATTAATGCAAACAATAATAATTCTGCTCAATGCTGATCTTTAAAATGATATTTGAGTTTGTTTTTTGAAAATTAGACTACAAATTCATGAATTCAAAAAGAAATGCATGATTGGCAATTTTGTTAACTCCTATATGCAAAGAAATATGTTGAAAAGCAAACAAATAGATAAAATCAGATAATAATTAAAAGCAAATGCAAAGAAATTAAAATTGTGACTAAATTCTATTTAAAGAATGTTAGTATTTTAGTTGTATTGTTTGCAATTTTCTCTTCAATTCTAAATTTCTTGTTTTTCAATTTGAACTCAGAATTTTACTTTGTTTTGAAAATTTTCATTGTTAGACAGATGTAAGTGTTAGAAAAAATTTGCCTTTCAAGTAAATCAAAATTGATAGACAAATTTGACACAAGACTAACCGATAAATGACATCGAGAATTGGTGCATGAGAAATGATTAATATACCCCCTTCCTGTTTTCTCCCTGATAAAATCCTGTGAACAATTTTTTCAACTCGTTTTTGGATATCACTTGGTCTTAACTCCTAAAACTTTTCAATTAATGAGTGAGAAACAAGATTCGAATATGAAAATTAGGCATGGCCAAAAACTCGTTAAGAAAGAAATTTTGAAAGTAAAGAGGTAAAGTAAGATGCTTACGTTTAAACTTAGTTACTATTAATCATCGCACAGTATGGACGTACTATGTCAATAAAACTTATTAATTTTTCAAAAATAATCATAATGATTGAATTACTTGATGAAAAGCATTAATGAGATCTGTAATTGACATCACTGATTTGTAATGCTCGTCGAAAGCATAACCATTTATTTGAAGATCCCTTGGGCTTAGAAATTTCGGAATCTAAAAAATTTTGTGTCAAAAAAGTGCAGCTATTCTATGAAAAAATGTTTTTGCAGTAAAAGATGATAATATTAATTGAAAGATCAAACGAAACTAAAGTGGATGGCAAAAATAAAAGGGACAAACTTTATGACAAAGACTGAATGGTTCAAACAAAGCAGGCTCTATGCGAAATCTAGGCAATTTGCGATAATTAAGCGTCGACATGAGAGCAATAGCTGTCTGTAATAATTATTAAATTTCTGCAACAATCACTTAAAAAAATATTTTTGTGGCGTGATATACGTGTATCGTACTGTATCAGGAGATTGCAATGATATTTTCGAAAATGAATGAATGTGAAATTGTATATTTTCAAAATTCAATTTTTCTTGATGAAATACAATAAATGCCACCTGAATACATCTGAGAGAAGGTGAACTGTAGATAGTATGAATGTGAAAGCTACGATCGGATAAGGAACGACCAATAAGTTCAGCACTTGATCGTCCTATTTGAGTCAAAGGTGGATCTTCAATTGAATTTTCTAGATTATCTGGTCGAATTACAGTCATTACCGCCTGATCGATATCCATCTATAACGAAAGGATTAAAAAAAATAAAATAAAAACTATAATCTAATATTAATGGTTGTTGATCTATTTTAATTTATGCTTACAGTGTAAAAAAAATATCTAAATTTGAACATTTCTTGTGTATGTAAAAAATTCCATACTTTTGCGAATTTATTATGATTCTGAAAAGCATTGTTGTTCCTTAAACCACCAAATCCAGCGGCTTCACTATTTCTAACCAAAAAAATCCGCCTCGTTGTGCTTTTCTAAAGTTTTATTACCAAAAAACTTTCTATTTTTATTCAGACCTGAATTTCAAATGCTTATTGAGCATGATCTTACTTTAACTCCATCATTCAAAGTTTTTCCAGCCATTTTCAATCTTGCAAAGCTAAAACTCGAATAGAAATTTGATCAAAGATAGTGAAATAAGTAAGAAGCTGATTAAGACATGGTTTATTGCTTTAAACACACTCATTTGATTAATGAATAAAAATTATGAGTTAGATTTTTGATTAGTTTTCAAATGAAAGTAAGCGAAAGCAAAAAAATAAAAGAAAAATGAAAAATGCTGCAGGGAATTTGTTCTCATTTCACATTTCATATTTTGAAAAATTTTTCCACTGTCTGACAAAGTAGAAATAATGATACTCACGTCATTGATTCCTTAACAGCGTCAAGAAATTTTGATGCAATTAAAATTGGAAAGAATAAAAAATGAACAGAATAAGAAATGATAATAGTAAGTTTTGAGTTTTCTGAATGTGACTTTGCTTCTGCCACTAATTTGAAACACTTTCACATTTAAATTAATTTCAAATTATATCTTCTTTAATGATTTAATTAATTTATATTCATTTTCTATGCCATCATTTTACTTACAATACGTAATAACAGTCACAGATGCAATGTGAAGCAATTGAAAACTACTGTACTTTAATGTGTTTTAAAAAGAGAATTAATATGAAAGAAAGAAAACGTTATTTAATCCAATGAAGAATGTAGCAAAACTATTTGAAAAATTAATTTTTTTCAAACTGAGTGCTTTTAAAGATGTGAGGTAATTTTTGATTGAAATCCCTTGTTAAGAAAGTAGCATTTTCTCCATAATCTAATCTCAGCCACCTGTTCTAAGGTTGGCAGCTGTTAATAAGACTTGTTTAGTGCAGGCTTTTTCATGCAAGAAATTTAGATTTTTAATATAGCTTCAATTTTTTTTAAAAAATTCAGTGAAAGAAAAATAGTCATATCATTGAAAAGTTCAAACTTTCTAATTTAACATGTAAGAATTTTAAGAAAATTGCCATCAACTGATTTCAGATGCAAGAATTTGTCTAAGATTTCTTATTCAACTTTATGGCATCATTTTACTTAAAATTCTAAAAATAAGTAAGCATCAAACTTTGGCTAAATAAGCTAAAATTTTAAATTTTAAAAACTTTCTTATAAAAATAGAAAAGTAGACTTAAAAGTGCAAGATAGAATAAAGTCAAATAACTGAAGCAAGGCAGTAATATATAAAAAATGTTTAAAATTTATGAAAAACGAATTTAGCAAATCGTAGAAATACGAACCAGGTAAAAATTTCAAAGTGAAGACGGAATTACCTTTCGAATTTGTTTTTGTTTCATCCTGAAAAGAATAAAAAATTTGTTGTGTTGAATGATGTTTGTATGGAAGCATTGCAATAGTTGAAATATATTTTAAGAGGGGAAAAATTTGACCTCACTTTAGCTAGAAAACATTTTAAAATTAATTGAAAAGCAATTACTACTTATTCATGTATAAATGACTTACTTTCTCGTCTATACTTTGCTTTTCAAAAAGAATAAAGTTCTAATATCACATACACATACGCACATACACATACGCACACATACGCATACGCACACACGCACACATTCATTTTAAAATTATTTAGCGCAGATTATTACTAGCAGTTATTTGCTTATAAAGCAAAAATAAGACGTTGGAATAAAAAGTGATGAAAGTAAAGATTAGTGAAAGGAAAATAAGAGGCAAAAAATAACGCTTAACTTCACACAAATTTCACCATTTAATAATGATTTTGATTTATTTCAAAGGCGAAAAATTTTCTTCAAAAATTATCATTGCTTCAAAGAAAAACAATGCAAATGATGAATCTGTTAAAACTCAATTTACTAGTTTGTTGAAATGTTTGCTAAATATTTGCATTGAATTGCATGAATGCTATTACTGCATTCATTTATGATGCCAGAAAATAATTTGAAAGTAAGTTATTTATATACACTAGTCAGCACCAATAACTTTTATTACTTCTACTATCAAATTCTATTTGAAGCACTTTTATATTGTTGACATTTTTCAGATTAATGCATTGTTTGCTCTCAAATATATGTTAAAAACAATTTGCATCATAATAATAAATATAAACGTTAATTGCAAAAATTATTTAACATTTGAATAATAGATTAATGAAAGAGTGGATGAGTGAATAAAAAACCTGGGGAAGAAGTAAGGTTCATTCCAACTTGCTGGAATGGTGATTGGGGGAAACATCCGGATAGGATCAAAAAAACGAGGATTCAACGCTGCTGGAGTCTCAAAAAAGCGACATTTCTTCTCTTTCAATATGCCATGCATCACTGCTTAATTCATTATTCCACGTGACTCACTACCAATTAATAAATTTTAATAAAAAATTTCTCGATATCAAATTATACAATGAAAAAATGATATGCAATGGATCTCTGTGAAATAAAAATTCATTTGTTAACTTTGAAACTGCTTATATTTTCAGCTTTTTCTAAAAATAAAAAAGATATATAGTGTTTCAAAAGAAATGCTGCTAAAATTTGGAAATCAATTGCAGACTTAATCATTGAAAAGGTAACAAAATTTTAAGTGTTCTTCTATTATTCATTCAGTTTAGTTAAATAAATACAAAAAATAGTAACATTAATAAACTTTAAACATGATGCATTTATAAATAATTCGCATAGAAAATTTTTGAATAAAAAAGTTTCAAATTAAAACAAAAAACAGATAAATCATTTCAGACAATATTTTCACGTTTTGCTTTTTATTTCAAATTTAATATAGAAATATTGAACGAACGTACCTTTTTATAGTTCTAAACAATAATTGAACCGACTAGCAAAAATTATATCAGTAAGCATATTTTTGGTGAAATTCATAAATGTTGTAGTCAGAAATGATTAACTGAAGAAATGACTGACTGAATAATCAGAGGAAATTTTTTTTTCATTCTATTGCAATTAAGTTAACACACTTTCTGGTGTACATTTACCTTTATGCAATAACAAACGCTAAAAGCTTTTAAAACACAATTTTCATTTGAGCAAAGTTAGCGATTACTGTTGACATCACAAATTCAGATTAGAACTGAAAAAAATGCAAATTTTGGTCAATAATTGATTACTTTAGTGACACTTCAATATACTTATAGAAGTTATTAGAATGAAACATGCCAATAAAAAATGCAGCTTATCATTATTTTTCAGCTGTTTTTGTTTGAAGTGAAGTTTTCATTTTTGTGTCACAAAGTTTGTTTAATTGCATCACATTTATTTTTAGAGAGTTATTTTATTTCAAAAATTACTCCCTAATTGCCTAAACAATGTCATTTTTTTACTGTTAAATGTTTAAAAACTATCCTTGTATGATTTTTTGGATAATTAAATTATTTGAAACTCTCACAGCTTGTTGCTTTCTAATTTGATTAGACACATTCTTTTTAATCACATGCAGAAGTAAGATGTTTATTTCTTTATTTGCGTGACTGAAAAATATGACAACTCTTTCTTTTTATGGAGCTAAAGTTTATTGTGGAGTAATTATATCTCGATGAAAAGTTAAGAAATCTTCAAGTGAACAAAGCATACGTCTTCAATGTGATAATAAAAGTGAAGTTATTTTTCTAAAGAGCACAAAAAGAAAGAAAAATAGCCATCATAAACATAAACAAGAAGGGTGAACACAGACAATTAAAAAACAATTTTAGGAAGTATTTAATAAAAAATAGATAAACATAAATGCTTTCAAAACAAACATTGCTTTAGCAGCAAAAATTTAACAAAATTGAAAGTAATACGTAATTAATGTAATTTGTTACTAATTATTTATAGAAATACATTATGCTAATAAAGCTAAAATTTAAAACTTAAGAAGGGAAAAATACAAATTTATAAAACAAAAGGGAATGCATTAATTGTTTAATGCAAATGCTTTAGAAGTATTTGTTGATTGAAAAAGAAAAAGCAAATAGGTAAATAAAATATTGTTGTTGTTACACATCAGCGCTTCCTGGAGGTCAAATAAATCTATAACCGTAAATAAACAGGTCAGCTGTGAGTTAATGGACCGTTTGTCTGGTTAAGTCTAAGTTTCAATCTTAAATCCACTAAGCAACAACTGCAATATCTTTTGACAGTAATAAGCAAATAAGAAAAGTATTTAGCTCTTACAAATATTTCAGTTCCAGTCATATCAATTAATTTTGCTTCCACGTTTGTTTTTTTGTATTGTAGAGAGCGAAAAAAAATTTGCATAATTTTACTCTGCAAAAAATTTCTAATTATTATTGGTTTTTCAGTATAAAAATGCAAAAAACTTCCTCATTTTCATTCTTTCGGTATTCTTGAACTGCCTTGTAGTTGTTATGCTATTGTGTTCTTTCAAGTTATACCACTCTAGGGCGTCCTGAAATATGTCGACCTCACTAATACTCATATATTTTCAATTTACTTGAAACTTTAACTTTTATCCGACGATGAAAAACTAAGATTTCAGGTAATCAACTAAGTGAATTGATGAATAATGAGGTCAGCTCAAAAAATGAAAAACTGGTCTTCACTGCGCAAGCACAGCGTTGCATCAAGTGCAAAGAGAAGTGTCCATTCGTTTATATCAAGAATGAGAGAAAGTAATCGGTTTTAATTTAATTATAGTCCCATAATTATTTTGAAACATTTTCTTAGTTTTTAATAAATTCTTCATTTTTACTAAAAGTTAATCATGTAAGTATCATAAACTTAATACTTACATGATTAACTCATTATTCGCATTTTTCTACCGCATTACTAGTCATCGCTGTCACCATTTTACATAATTTAGCTATTTGATAGATCTTCTTTCAAAACTTTCATCGTGAGATTAATGAGAAATACAGATTAAGAATAAATGTCAATGTTGTTCTGTAAAGAAGAAAGCAGACAAATAATTTATCCAGGTGATAAGCGATTCGAAAAATTTGAAAATATAGACAAGAACGAAGATGAAGTGGAAGCAGCATCACTCACGGAACATTTTGAATTTGATGTAATTCAAATTTTTGCTAATTTGATTTTGTTTCAATTGTAAAAATTCTGCATGCAAATCTATTTTCAATTAGAAGGTGATTATAGAAAGTTATTCATATGTCGATATTTGTTGTCCAATATTGATATTCCAAAATAGTTTTCCATATCTCACAAGTATGAAAATGACTTCTGTAAATTCCATGCGCTACTCTGAATGAGTTTATTTTGGGCTCAAAAATTACGTGGCCAGTTTAACAACTCAGCATTTCGATTTACCAATCAATCAGATCACATATTTATCGCTCTATCGCTTATTGTTAGTTTGAATAATGTTCTTCGATTTCCAATTATTTGTTCGGAAAGCGGTGGAAGTAAGTTTTCTTCGTGTATTAGAACATGTTACGAATGTGCACAAATTCCTAACTTACAACTCAATATTATCTCACTAATTATTATATGATAAGAATAATAAACAAAAAAATATACTAATTTAGAGCAATTTCAGTTTTATTTTTCATTCCGTATGCACTATGTCTTATTTTTATCACAATTCCATTGACCTTTTTGGAGAATGCTTTGGGTCAATATAGTTCACTACCGTCAATGCAACTATTTTATCATCTTTGTCCTGCTTTCGGAGGTTATTTTTTGTTAAATTATATTCAATATAGTATAATAAAAGTGCATTTAGAGACAAATAAGAATCTAAACCATTCTCGTTCAGATTCATGCTTTTTACTCGCTAATGTTATTAATTTTAAAAAAATGAAAAACTGATTCGACAAAATTAAAAAATTCATTGAATACTTTGATGTTTGCATTTACTGTACCGCACGCAATGACAAAGTGCCAGAATTAAACGAACAGCATATATAGATAGAGGAGTTCAGAATTAATGTTAAGAAGGCACTTATCACTAATGGAATGATTTATCACGTATTTAATCGGTGTAAATCAAAACAGCTCATGAACTGTTTTTAAAAATTACAATGTTTCAGGTATGGGCTTAGCGATGTTAATAGTAGCCATTTCCAAGACTATTTTTTTCTCGTATTCTGCAGTGACTACTTTTTATGCTTTTCAAAGTCTCGTTTCTGCATTTGATTTGCAGTCGAAAAATAGTTGGCTCGAATGCTTTCTCCAAGACTACTGTGAAATATTTTTTTAATTACTTCCTAATTTTTAAACTTAGTGATATTATTATTTTCGTTACTCTTTTTAGTAGCAGTAGTCTTAGTATATACATCTTTAACTTCGTGGCATATGCATTATTAGATTGCTAATCCTATTTTGTCAATTTATGATGGTGATTTCAACAATAACGTAAACATCAAAAAAAAAAATTGTATATGTATAAAACAAATTAAAATTATCATATAATCTATCTTTTCTATCTGTTTAAACAAATAAGTTGGCTAGTAAATGAATGAGAAGAATCTTAGTAGGTATCGCAAAAAAAATGCCTGCATTTTTCAGAAAATTTATAATATTTTTGCTGTGATAACATTATAAGTTGATAAGGATGATCATATTGATTCATAGGAGTAAAAAAAATAGTTATTAAATTATTAGTAACGAAATAACAACAATATTATTCATACAGTATTAACTTAAGCATATTATTACTGTTACTACTACTACTATCACAAGTACTATCAATGCAGCTACCAAAAGTAATCACAATAAAAATAATAACGAAAACAATAAATATGATTGATATTTAGCAACTTGCTATGATCCATACATAGCATGCAACGAATCAATCGGTCATTACCAGTACCATTCTAAATGTTATGATGTAAATCCTAAAACCAGCAAAATCGCTCAAAATCTCACATGGGAACAAATTGTAATAGCAATGACATCTTCTTCTGAAGCATTGCGTGATCTACCACCTAATATTTTTTTGTATGAAAATTAAATTCAACAAATTTTTCTTAACTAATGTACTGTACTGTCTGGTTTCAAGAATACTGAGTAAACTGAACATTTAGAATTTAATTAGGAAAGTTTAAATTTTAATTTTCATACTGACTGATTGCTCAATTATTAGCACTGCTTTTAATTTTTGTTCAATTTCAATCATGTTTCCGTCTAATGCAAAATACATTAGTAAGCAATATCTTACAGGAAAGAAAAAATTAATAATCCTGAAAGTCCGAGTGAATTTTTTATCGCTTCAGCAACAATTGAACAGGCTATTATCGCTGTAATTGCCATCTTAGGGATTCGTATATATGCAAAGGTTTATTCTAATTTCAAAAATTTGAGTTTTTTGTTTAAGGAAGCAGTTCTCAAAGCAGTCAAGTTCTAATTTTCAATACAATCATTAATGATAAAAAATATTAAAAGTAGAGCAAACGAAATGCATAGACAATTTGTTTTTTTCTCCCTTCAATAAAAAAAATTTGTTTCTTCTCAGAAATTAAATACAGAGTGATTGGAAATTGCTCAAATTAAACTTAATCAGAAAATTTTTAATTAAAAAGATCATTTCTTTTAATGAGTACAAATAATGTAAAAATATTTTTGATTGAACAGTTATTAATACGCAAGTGCAGCATTTACATGCACCATAATAATTTCATTTTAACTTTGTTAAATTCGATAATTGGTTTTATTGGAAATTAACTACAATTTGTCTTTATCATTTGTCAACTATGTTAATTTTGTAATTTTTTGGCAGTTATTACATTTAATCATCGTTTAGATAGCTCGATTCACTGTAATATTTCCACAACTTTGCATGGTAATATGTATTTGTTTCGCTGTTACTAAAGCAGGATTTCAAACTACGGTTTCCGCAATAGCTGAGGGCTTTTTACCAGATTTAGAGGAATTTTTCACGTTGAGAACTTGGGCTATGGCTGCACTTCAAGTTCAGTTTAATCTAATTAAATTATTGCTCCAGAAATTTGGATAATATTTTTAGAAAGTTTTGTAATAGCTACTTGCATCTTTAATATCTTTTCAGAAATAAGTGGTAATATTCCTTTCAGTACCTTCTAGAACTATATTAGAATATGAAATTATTTGCTCAATAAAAATATTTTTTTTTGAAAAAAAGAATATGATGACATACAATGGAAAAGTTGAAAGTTTATGATGAAAAGTTGAAACAAATTACCAAAAAAATTTTTAAATTTTAGAAAGTAATAAGGGTAAATCAAGCATGATACTTGCATTTATTAATGTCAATCTCATTTTGCTACCTTAGTATGGTAAATATTTTGAGGTGCAGAAAGTTTTCATCTCCTAAAGTGGCTTATATCCTTTTGACGAGAGCTTTTTTTGGATTTAAACATAATTCAATCAGCCACATTCTTTCTTTTCTAATTTTGCAGAAAACTGTAACATAACTTTCCATTTTTTTGAGCATTTCTGTTTTTGTATTCGCACAATGAATCACAGCTAGAAACTTAGAGAATGGCAGTACTAAGATTTTCTTATATTAGCTTGTAACTTTTCAGTTTATCTAAAAATTTAAAAAAAAATTTTTTTAATTAGAAATTTGATATGCAGTAAATTTTTGAAATGTAAAAATAAAAAAAATATAAAGTAAATTGTTATATAGGCTCTGATAGCAACTAATTTGTTCGATGGTTCGTTTATTACAATAGCAGCTATGAAAAACTTTCGAAATAATTTCATGCGGTAAAAATAATGAACTTATGAAAATTTAGATTTTAGAATATTTTTCAATTTGAAGCTGTCAAACCATATGCATTAGTGAATTATGTGCGATCATTCATTCACTGGGAGATTACAGCTATTATTATATCAAAAAAAAAACAGAAAAAAAACAGTTTCTAATTGCAGTGATACTTTAGTCGTAATTATTTATGGACTTTTTATAAACATATTTGCATGCTTAGTTGTTTTTTCCCTCGGGGGTGCGGCAGCTAAATTGATATTTCCTGCAAAAGGTCATGAAGGAAGTATGTTTAATTTATGAATTTTCTCTTGTAAATTGTTTTGTTCCTAAATTACAGGACTATCTAGATAATGATGTTTGGTAGTACGATACATTTTACCGTTCATAAATTTTGCATTCTAGTGCCATTCCTTTGGAAACATGGAGAAATTAGTCACTTCACTATCTTGCCTCTATTGTTTGCAAAGACACCCTGTGGGGCTGTGCTTTTATCTCTTATTTATATTTCAGTGTTTTTATTGACTATTGGCTCTCAGATAAGTTTCATTTTGCTTACTGAAAAAAAAAGTTACAAAACTTCTCAAAAATTTGGTTACTTTAAATTTTTTCACAGCAAAAAAGTAGAGTTAAGTGCTTATAACCAAAAAATTATTTATCATATCTTAACAAGCAAAGCTAACAAATTACACATTGTTTGACATTATGTGAGAATCACAAACCGTTGTTTAAATTATCAATGTAAATCAGAATGTGACTATCTAAAAGCATATTTCAGATAGTAACGTTAGAAATGGTTATTACGGCTGTGCATCGAACGATAACCCGAGTTAAGTTTATCAATCAAATAACTTCTCGAAATATAATTATTTGCTTATATTTTTTGCTTATGCACTCATATGCCTGCTTTAATGAAGGATCAGTAAGCTTTGATTGCTATTGGAATTGCCTGTTTTCAAATGAACGATTCTGTTTCAACAATTTATTGTGGATTTTTCTATCTCATGACCATTACATGATTAATAAACTTTAGTTTTAACTATTGCAGCATTCAATATTAAGTAATCTTAATACAAAATTTTACCATTACATTTTTTTTAAACTATATAAAAAGCTTAAGTTCCATTATATATATATATA